CGAAATGATCATCACTCTATCTCAGTACCGCAGCGATCACATGATCAAATCGCCGTTTTACAAAATCGCCGTTCACATCATATTTAGTAAATCTTGTATCGTATTTATACTTTTGGCTGGGGGGTGTAGTGCACGCGACATATTAGAACACTACCGCGCAAATCTAAAGCGAAAACCTTGCAAAGGTAGCAGATGTAAGTTCTGGATATGACGTGACGCGAAGACTCAAGGCCCAAAAAATTAACAGCTGGAAGGTATATTTGTTGTTTGTGTTTACTTTTATTATTTTTATGAGCATTTAAGTGCAAGCTGTGACTCCTAGTCGCCAGTTTAATGTGATGTTAACTAATGCTTTCCCGAACTCTTTCAATATGACGTTTCTGTTTTTGCTATGCTAACCTGTTTACAATCAACTGATGCGGACACTGTTCTTGCACAGGCGGAGAGAAGTCTAACATACTGCAATATACACCAAGATTAGGTATAGTTCCTTCAGCGTTCATTTGCGGGTTTCATCTTGAATCTTGAATTATTTGTCACTTTTTTCTTTGTAGGGCCTTGGTGGTACTAGCCACAAGGTTTTGCTAAACAAATGTAGTTCATATATAACATTTACTACACAACTCGTCGCTACTGCACATATAGTCCTATATAAATCAAGTTAGCCGTAGCATTAATAATGTATTGCCAATAGTCACCAAAAAGATGATAAATTGTATTACGCCGAAATATGTAATTAAGTGCGAGAATGAAATAAAGGAGCATATGGATATGGTATGAACATGACCATGAAACGGGACACTAGCAATCATGTAAAGTATGTGTGTGAAAGTCACCAATTTCAGAATCTATAAAGCTGAAAAACTTTAATTTCTATATTTTAAGAGTTGAATCACAGTACAAGGTGAGCTTTACAAGCTATGTTTTATTGTTTATAGTCAGCAAAGATTTCTCTTTGAAGTAGGTCACAACATAATGCACATGAAAAGTCACTTTATAATTATAGTGTTTGCTAAGGATTACAGGAAGGGGCATACCATCAACTACATTTCATAAAGAGAATGACTTGCAAAATTCACAAACTGTTGCAACAGAGCAAAGTGCCCACCCATCAGATATTGCATCTTCAATAGTTTTCCCAATAACTTTTTCATCTTTCTTATTCTCAATATTTTCTTTACCAGTACTGAGTGCAGTTTTAAGGAAATTCTTAGCACTTTCATCCAAAATGTCACCAACTTCTAATACTAAGGGGGACTGTTGCTTGCAACCATGCCGAGTGAGCTGTAAAAAATGGAGTATGGAGGTAAAATATATTAATATCAATTTGCTCTTAGCATATATAATATAATAATTAAGAGGTAGAATTCTTACAATGCATAGACATGGGGCTAATCCTTCACTTGTGACAAAAATGATACAGAGCACTTCACCATCTGCACATGACTTTGCAAAAGTTAGTCATTCGGAAACTGATCCTTTATTTTGACACTTCGAGATTTTGATGAGATAAATATTCTTTTCATTGATTTTGTTACTAAAATAACAGCATATATTTTTTTTTTTTGATCTTGATTAGGAGAGAGCCAACGGGGCAGGTAAGGTAATCCGTGAAGCGTTATCTTGTGTTGATTCGTCACTAAAGTGTTCTTCTGATGGTAAGTCCCCTAAGAAACTCTGGGTCTTGCTTAGCAATTCGGTCCGTCTGATCAAGCACCAAAATCATCGGGCGATTGTATTTTTTCCGAAAGGCGGTAGCGGTCTTCACAAGCACCTCCCTCAAGCAGAACCAGGTACGGATCAGTTCTTTGGTATTGTCCACTTCTGGTGTCTTTGTAAATAGATTACGCCATGATAAAGACGGGCGACCAACTAACGGCGGATTATCTACATAAATAATTTTCGCTGCCTTTGGCTTCTCAAGCTTCATTATAGCCGCAATCAGAGTCGTCTTCCCTGTTCCATGTTTGCCCACAATAAGAGTATAATTATTTTGGTTTTGTTTTTCCGTTTTCAAATGTCTTTAACAATTTCTTAGTAACGGCGTTGTTGTTGAAGTGGTAGTATATACAGAGACACTTCTATAAGTGCACCCTCCATAAGTGCACACCCACGCGTACGTGCAAGCGATTTTGAGTCCCGGATATAATTGTATAAGTGCACACACGTGACATTTAAAAAAGGTCAGCCAATTAATCGCCGTGATTTCAATGCATAGTACTAGTCGTGGCGTGGCTCATTCATGATCTAATAGAGCGTTCGGCAAATTTTTCCAGGATATGATTAAATTCATTTGGTAATTGGACCACAGGCTGTTGGAGTGGACATAAATCCAATGATAGGGCATATTCATCAGGGAAGAGAAAACTTGGACATTGGTGGTATCGGAGGAATAGGGTGACGGGTGTTGGAAGATTAGGCGTTGCTACCTCAAAGGATGAAAGTCCAGCGGTATGTTTGCCATATCTGATGCATGTGTTTACAATGGTCATGTTGACAGCAAAGCTAGCCATACTGATTCATTAATGCCTCCGAAACCTGGCCATTGCAGATGGCTTCGTCTGTTTATCATGACATTCTCAACGTTATTACAAAGAACGGAGAAAACATTACCAATATCATCCGATCTTTTTCTTCACAGCTCACTCGTATGAGACTTCAAAGTTGAGTTTACTTGAAAATCATCTACTTTACGAGGACGTAATGCTATATCAGAGATATGGCAAATACCGTATGGTCAGGCTTTGCTCGCTGCACCGTCTTTTTATTAACGGCTAATTTAGAAGGAATCCTACGAGGCTATCAAAGTTTTGCAATTGTATGGGCGTACTGCATTTAACTACTACACCAGCTATTTATTTTAACGAGCCGCAAGTGTTGTTGCGACAGCAGTTGCAGAAAACGAAACGCGCCGATGGGTATTGTCGGTTCAGTCAGTGAAGATGGGATTTTCATAAGTCATTTATCGGATTGAAATTTATCCTGCTTGAAAATTTAATTGAACGTCGATCGCTCAATTTGTGATATTTGGTATTGGAGACACTTTATTTAGCAGATTATATTCTATTCGAAAATATGCTTCACAACAATTAGGTAATCTCTTCGTCAGCAGTATCCGTTTAGCCAATTTATCAATCTCTCAGCAGGAAGCACGTTTAAACGTATGCCATCCTCTACTTCTATGCCCACATCGTCTCCTGGCCATCGAGAAAAATTCAAAGCTTTGGATGGTGTTTCTACGCGCCTTGTGTACCTTGAGTGTGCTCTTGTGAAAGGTGACTACGAAAATAATGAATATCAATCAACACAGTCAATTGTTTTACGAGTATCATGATTATTGTTTCAGTCTAACCTTATACAGTTTATCTAAACGGCAAGCCTAATACCATGAATCTATCCTTAGAATTGGATTAGAATTCATTTGCTATCGATAAATTGCGCTCCGCCTCGCTCCTCAATATTGATATGCCTCGCTTGATTGCGCGAACTCTTTTAGTCCGATATCCATCTGATAATAACAGCCAATCACTCACACCAAATCTTGTGAATCAATAGATGACATTATAATTTGGCAATGTTGTATGTTAGCGAAGTTGTTGGAAAATACAAACGCAACTTCTTGTAGCCTTGATGAAAATGCAGCTTCAGGTAATGCTAAAGGCTGCTATGTAGATGAGTTTGGGTTTTTATGAATTTGTCTTTTTTTTCTAATTCTCTTCTTTTTTTTTTTTAAAGCCTGAAAATTTGCTTTATAAAGACAGAACACGCCATTCGAAACTCGGTTTAGAAGTGCGTTGGTTCTGGTCACATGGAGGGTTCGGGGCATAACCGGAGAAGTATCGAAAGTAGGAGTATGCTCAAGTGCAAAGACGTCAGGACTCGTTTGCGATGATGCTTCTTCGATCCGAGATATATTGAATTATAGGTGTTATTATTGTTGCAGTAGGTTGGGAATGGCAAATCAAATATTATTTCGCATGGTTGATATGATCTTGGCACATATAGATGGCACATTTATGCATGGCAAGTTTTGTTTGTGTTGTTTGATATCGCTAAACTTGCATCGTTACGCGTCAAGGTTATGCAGCAATATCATGAGTAGATCTTCGAGGGTATGAATGAATTGATGTCGATAAGCAGCGGATGAAGCTAAGGTTTTACAGGAGTGTCAGAAATTTTCTTCGATCGGAAGATTTCGAGCTCTGCCTTTATCGCATCTTGTCTGCATTCTAGTCAAAAGTGGCTAAAACAATGTCATAAACTTTAAATAATGTACTCTATTACTATATTTTCGGTATTTTTTAACTCATGTTAATTTATTTAATTGAAGTAAACCTTGAATAAAACTCGTATAAACTGAAATAACCCCGTGAATTACGTGTTTATTCAAAAAAGAGTTTGTCTCTAAATTATAAGAAATGGGCTAGGTTTTAACATTATAAATCGAGGTTCATTTGTATCAACATGTAACCATACCTGCAGCTGAATCCAGATCAGCTATTTCTTGATCTCCCGTAGATAAGAGCTTACTCGAGACGTGATAAGGGTTTTACATCAGTATGATAGATGGTATTCCATGTGCTGTCATCAGAATTGTCCTTGGCCACCTCGTCCCTAAGCTTGTCAATATCTCTAAAAAGTCTCCATGTATCTGGACGCTTATCAGGATCGGCCTCACAACACCGCTCAGCAAGTTTCTTGTATTTCTGTGGTGCTGAATCAGGCATCGGTGGTCGCAGTCCATCCATAATCTCGCGTATTAAACTTGTATCAAACTGCCTATCTCTAAATGGTGGTTCACCAGTGGCCATCAAATGCATAATAATACCAAAAGAATACACATCTGATTTTTTCGTAAATTTGCGAATATGGAAGACTTCCGGTGCAATATAGGGTAAAGCACCTCGAATGGTTGAATTTGATTCGCGTGAATTCACTGATCGTGAGAGACCAAGATCGCATATATATGGGTGTACGTCATTATGCAAAACTATGTTTCCGCCATGAAGATCACAATGCACAATTCCCGCATTATGAATAATATACAGATACCCTGCAATATTTCTCAAACACTGTAATTTCATCCTCCACGTCAACTTGTTAATATTTTGATCCAAATAAGACAAAAGACTACCATTGTTAGCATATTGCACAATGGTCATATACTCTTTTGTTTCTGGGTCTTGTGTGACTCCATAAATTTGAAGGAAATAAGAATAATCATTGTTTAAGCACTTGGCGTGATTTCTGAACTATCAAATAAAATAATAGAGTCAGATTAAATATTAATATCACTAATACTCCCTTTAATTAATACTCCCAATTATTGCTTACCTCAGAAATAAATAATTCTGGCATTCCATCAAAATTCTTAATCCGTTTGAGTACAACGGTTTGTGGTATGTGCTCTTCTGAATACTTTTCATATTTAGCAGTATAGACTGTTCTATAACCACCAGATCCGATCTCATTGAGTTCATAAAAGTCGCTGTACTGCATGTACTTGACATTTCTGTGATGTTGTATAATTGTGTCCAATATCTGATGTATTTCATGGTAGAAAAGTAAATAATATTCCTGAGTAGATGGTTCCCGAGTGATCCCAATTATCCAAATATTATCTGGCGTTAATATCTCTGGGTATTCCTTAGTTAGCTATTTGAGTAAACAAATATACACCGGTCAATTTAAAACGCGCAATACTAATACATGTTAATAATACTATTACTATTTGCATAATTTACCTGGTGAAAATCATTTTGTTTGTCAACTATCTTTTTGAGTGTCACACATGTCAATTCATTTGTTGTCAGTTCTGAACATTCTGCTATATGTGTGCATCCATGGTGTAATGATGTCATTTCTTGTACATTTGTCAATAGAGAGTATTCAATCCATTGTATATACATATCAAATAAATGCTTTGTATTCTTCCACGATTCCATAATAAATGAATCCAGTGATCTGTTGCCCGTAGTCCAATCAAGAGGTTGCGGCGCTTTACATTCATAACAGAATTCATTTATCTGAGGTTCTAATCGACATGTACATGCCAGACATAGTCTATTGTCAACCTTTATGAGACAATACTTTTGTATACTTGCATCATATGTGAATCCGATGGTAACCCAAACATCTGTGGTAGGAATATCTGGATACCTATCACATAACTAGTGGAAATGATAAGTCAATAATTATTCAATAAACATGATGCATAAGTAAATAGCTTACCTCGGCATAGTATAAATCATGTGTCTCATCTGTTATTTCAAGTGGAGTCAATTTAACCTTACGAATAGGTAGACCATTCAAGTATGCATAATCTCCCCCACCATAAATACAATCGTGTGGAATCCATTCCAAATAGGCATGATTTAGTGAGTTTGTTTGTAATTGAGATTTCTTAATAAACTCATCAAGTTGCTTATTGTTGCTAGTCCATCCATCGGATAATTCTTTATGTCCACAGATGCACCACACAGGACTACATCGGAGTATTCCACATGAGGAGCAGAAACCATATTGAGAATAACAATAGTAAAAGCGTTTATCAGCAACCATGTAATATTTATCTTCGTACTTGGTGAATCCTTTTATCATGTAGTTGCGATAATAAAGCCATTTCTTATATCGTCTAAATTGACTGACATTATTCTTGTACTTGTGTGTCGGAAGTGCGTATATTCTGGCAAACTCACTCACAAACGATGGTGTACATATTTCATCGCTTTCAACTAATAGTAACATTATCATGCAATTGCAATCAGCATAATAGACTGTGGAAATTTGAGTTGGTTCTATGTTGGCGATTTCCTTGTAAGGAATCCATTCAAGTCTTAAGTAATGTTCACTTTTTGAGGATTGAACCAAGTTGTCAATCGCTGGATTATCTGATGCTAACGACATAGTTTGAATTAAAAAACTTTTTTCAAGTGCGCGCTGCTGCGCAAATATCGTTTTCAACACTTGTGTTACATTACACATTGCACATCCCATTTTTCCACTGAAAACCGATAACTCGCAAAACCGATAACTCGCAAAACCGATACAATTTCCGTGCAATTTATATTAATATATGATAAATTTCTCGTGAAAACCGATAATGCATAGTAGATACAACCCGATAAACACCGATTTTTTTTAGCGATAGATTGAGCTTCGATAAACTGATATTATATTATAATGTAATACAATGATAATCTTCCTCCGCAGTCAAACAAAAAACCCAAATTACCGTTATAGAAACATGGCATTAGACTCAGCAGCTAAAATACAGTCAACGTTATGATGTGCGCAAACCGAATTTTATGTGCATTAACTGAAAAGTGGTGCCAAGAAAAGTAGCACGGTTTAGTTGATTGGCATAATAACTGTGTTACAATGCTTATACTGCCGTTAAGTACATTATGATAGAAGTATCGCAACACGGCAGGACCGCATGAGATTGAGAATACCTTCCTTTCATGAGATAAACGTATAATTTATTTAGTTTATAGAAAAGCCGACAATATAAGGCATTCGGATGAAGATAAAGAAAATGTGAAACGATTGTTTTAATAGATGACATAGATCTGAGTTTCATCTACTACTACATTCCATCGCATCGGCAATATCGAATAAGAGAGAAAAATCCAATGGGAAATAGAATAACCGCCATTGTCAATCTATACGAAACTGACCGCCAAATTCTGTAAAAACCGATAGCAGAAGATAAGGACAATCGCTTCAAAAATAAATAAAGTCAATAAAATAGCTTGTGAAATAATAATGAAAATAATAAAAGAGCGGCACTCTAACAATCAAAAACAACAAGCCTGATAAGGAAGTAATGAGTGATAAAGAAGAAGATAAATAGAGTTGGACATATCAAAAGAGTCGGACATTGAGAGGAGGATATTACATTACAGCAGAAAGGGGGACAAGAAAGGCAAAAACTGACACATCGACAAATAACCTTATGCATTTGGCATACAATTAGGACAATATTGATGAAATCGGGTGAGTTGAACGAGATATAAGTAAATTAATGTTCAATTACAAGGTAGAGCCGCAGTATATTACTATTTTATTGAAGGTATGATTGCCTCCGTACGCGTTGCATAATGAATGTGTTAAAAACCTTGATGGTTGGACATCCATAATATAATGGTATTCCTACGTTGCACAATTGTAAAATGCTCAACTACAGTCTTAATGAACGAACGATTCGAACAACATAGCCGTCGACTGGTTTGGCGAATCTTTTTCTTATGACGTGCACAGGACTTTTCCGACAAGAATGAGACGCAAAAGTAAAACCGATTGTTTGTTTAACGATAATGTCAACTTCAGTTTTTACGTAATTATGAAGAAAGAGTCTGGCAATACCAATCGCTGATCGTTTGTCTGCTTTGGAAAGTCTTTATCGTCAAACGTTACTGATCACATGCGCAACTTCAGAATCAACTCATTACTACATTCTATTGCACTACTCATTACTCATGAAACTATTCAAAGTCCAACCCATTTACTGCTCTCGCCCCACTTAGAATGCCTGCGACTACTTCTTAGGTGCCTCTTGCATAAAATGCTGTTCCTGTTACAACGGATGATACTAATAACAAGACTGTTATTTATCGTCACCTTCCAACTGCATATCGCATTGCCACATAGGAACATCACTACGACAGACGTTACTCTCACAGCAGGCTTACAAGTATACTTGATTATTTGCTAGTGCTTTTGGGTTTCTTTGTTCCGTATTTCGATCTCGAAGTCATTCTGTTGGGTACACCTTGAAAATCCATGGATCCTCTGACCAGATGATACCTGACACCCGGAAGATCTTTTACACGACCTGCGATGACGATATAGGAATTTTAGTCTACTTTCGATATTTCACTCGCAAAGTGCATCGATTCCTTACCTCCACGCACCAACACGACGGAATGTTCACTCTAGCATCAGAAAAAGTAAATTAAATTCGATTCAAGACGAAATCAGCGCAAGCACGATAGAGTTAATCACGTACCAGATTATGTCCCTCGCCTGGAATATACGCAATAATAACTTTTCCCGTAGATAGTTTGACTCGCGCTACTTTTCTCACAGCAGAATTAGGTTTCTTTGGTTTTGTTGTGTATACTTTGTTACACACTCCTTTTTTCTGACAATTGCCTTCCATTGCAGGCGATCTTGCTGGTTTACGCTTGGTCTTTCGACACTTGCGTATCACTTGATTTAATGTTGCATAATTTGCGAATCTGTTGTTGGCAATGAGGGGAGAGCTTGATAATGGATATTTGATGCATGGAGATGAAAAGATGGATTTGAGGAGAGAATTGGTGGAGGATTTAGCGGTGAACGAGCTTTGAAGTAAAAGTCGGGCCGGATTGGTCTGTGATAAGGATTGTTTTAGTGAAGCACAAAGAGATAACATTGTGTTGTATGTGTTAACAAGGAAAATAAAACAAAAACATCAACTGTGATGTTACTGATAAAAAAATATCGATGTGTCATGTGCAGATCTTTGGTGGAGCAAATATTTCCCTATTTGGGAATAATTTCCAAACATAGATTACACACCTGCTTGTTAACAGTATTAGCATCACTATATTCTCGTTTACGGCATATATTATTACTATCTTGCATACTCTGCTAAAGTGTCTAACTATTGATCGAATCCAACTGTAATTCTATCATACTATTTGCAACGATTTCTTGGCATTCCTTAAGAGTGTCTTTCGTCTTCTTAATTCATTACCCATCAGGTTTCGCTCGGACTATTACTTTACAATAAACTCCCACATTTGTACAGTCTACCAAGATTAAATCTGTCCACCGTTGACAAGCCCTTCTTTTTTGTTGCGGGGGTATGTTGGTGGTGGGGAGAACCAAGGTCGCTTAAACGGTTAGTTTCTGTAGATAATAATAAAGCATCTCTTTATAAGCTCGGATGCCGTAAGAAATGATAAACTTGGTTCTCTGATATCAATTTGTCCACGTATAGGCCTACACGTTTCTAAGATCGTTCTGAACGCAATGTCAACATAGACAAAAGCCAGATGCCATCAGTTGATAGGACTTGTTTATTACTTTCCTGAACTTGCACATTTCTCTTTCTAATCAGTAATACGCTGAAAAGTATTTATCTACAATAGAGATCGAAGAATTCTGTTTCGCTTTCGTCATGGCGAGATGATTCTGATCATTGGCATCAAAGGATGGAGATGGAAATGGTAAACGATTATTTCAACACAAGTACCAATATGCCGTATTCTACGGCGTCTTCGCGAGGTTCGTGGAGATTTGGACTCGGCATACGCGAACAGATATCCAGGTCCATTATTTAGTCCAGAACGACATAATAATAAACTTCGAAACCCTAAACATAAATTAACAAATAAATTATTAGCAGTTTAAATTGTTTATATTATTAACTTACTTACAATAGTCCAAGCGGGACCGTTACTAACATAAAGTTTTGCACCACTCCTGAAACCAGTAACATGTACTTCCGCTGGTGCTGACCTGTGATGCGAAAGCGTAAGTTTCGGAAAGATTTTTGGCGCAAATGTTGCTTAACTCCGCTTTCATTCCATTTGCTACGCTAACTTTTTTGCAGACGTACGTGTAGAATGTTAAGCCTTATTATGTGTGCAAGGCAGACAGGTGTAACGGTAAATCTTTATTTACGTATCAGCACATGACACAATTCAAGTGGGGTCATTGGTTAATTAAATTGCAACTGGGTAGTCGCAATCTATAGTTTCGCTTGAGAAGTTTCTCTTTTGACGACGTGAAAACATTGTGTATTTTCTAACTCTCTAATTATCAAGCCACATCAACTTTACCATATCAAAGTTATCTTTTTTTTACATTTTCCATAAACTTGAGCAGTCTAGGGAAGTAAGTTAAGTGAGTTTACATTTTTTGATAAATGTAAACTATTAAATATCGTATAATTTTGCAAATTGCTTACTATTACGCTTTAGGATCAAAGAATATTATTTTAATTTGTCTTGTAGATAATAACTTGGTTGTTTATCGTTTGAATTAAATGAGTTTAATCCGCTGGGTAATCGAATGGAATTGTCGTTTTGTTAATTAATCTGAAATTCGACCAACGTTAATTGCTGATGCTATTGAAATATTTCCAGTCGTTCAAATATCCGTCATTTACTCTCAACAGTTTGTAAAAAGCCGCTTTCAAAAAGCGCTAGTTTAAAATGCGTTCTAAAATTTTTTTTGGTGTTTCGGGTCGGAAATTAAGAAAATTCTGAACATTGCTGTAATCATAAACAAGCCTACAGCGCGGTTAATAACATTAATAACGAAACACATTGTTTGAAATTCAAGTTACAGCCGTACACTGACTGGCATTTTGGCAAAGACGACGAAAACGTGGTAGTTGAATAACAATGAGTGGCAATAACTCAAATTTATTCGAGTAGAAAATGGTCAATTTTCCTAGAAGCGTTTGAGCAAAATTAATAAGATCTATCTTATATTTTAATAAATTACGTACTGTATTTTAAACAACTTCTTCTCCAGGATTTTATCAGCCGTCAAATAAAGAGTGGTGTACAGTAATTTCCGTTACTTAATAAATCTCATTTTCGAAGAGAGAATATATCTATTATGATAGAATTTGTCTCTGTATTAACAGTGGCATTACGAATAACGAAGAACTAAGGTTGAGGGAGGCCCGAGGTATTAACCAGGTAATGTGTTCAGCTATACTGGAAGCTTCTGGTTAAGAATATGACGACTTATCAACGAAAAAGTTAAATTGTATTGATGTTTTATTAGTATGGGAAATGAAGTTGCCATTGAGGACAATGTTTTGAATATGGGGCATTCCTTGATTCCGTATAACCACTGTTTTTATTAGACACGGTATTGGAAGAATATTAACATTATTGTGCTAATTGTTGGAACTCAAACTTTATCCATTTTTGTCCCTTAATAACCATATTTGTATTCATTATTGAAATTCGATTGTTTAAAAACCTCCAATCGAAAGAAAAGATGTGGTGTTTTTGAGTGTGATGCGTAGAATTGATTCCAATTGGCTTCATAACCGAGTGTTGTGTTCATCACAATTGTATTCTGTAGAACCAAGGATACAATCGACACAACTGTATTTGGCATGCATATAGAAAGGATCGAAACATTCCCTCGGCCCGAAAGGTTTGGCCGTCTACTATTTCAAATAAGCTGTTGATTTCCATTTAAGTGTCTGTTTTATAGCATTAATAACTGCGGGTATATGCATAAGTTAAACCATGTTCCAATTTGACGCGTGCTTGGCGCATCGAAAGAAGGTGTGTGGAGACTCTACTAACAATGGGAAATTTTGTGAAACGGCAACGAGTTGATCATTGGAAATACCTTATTTTGGGGCAAACCTTGTAAACATGATGTCATATGGACTACGTATCTAACGATAAGAGAGATTGTAGTAAACAATGGCGCAGTGAAGCAAATATTACCGATCTATACATGATATGCATATGCGTAGAATCTGTTGAGAGAACCACGTTTCCACCAATTCCTTGTTGTATAACCACTCAGCAACCAAAGACGGTATAACTTCTAATATGCTCTAGCTCTTAATGGTAATCGATTCTCACGAATTAATGTTACTGATCATGCTTGCATACAATATTAACAGTTTCTATTCACAGCAGAAAGAATATCGTAACTCGTGTGGCAATCAGGGACTTTATTCCTTAACTGTACAGCTAGCACACATAAATATTTATATGCAAATAATTATATGTGATGATGTACTATGTCAAATATCTACAAGTTCAACTTCCATAAATGTATAGACAATATAATCAGACTTTTTACTTTTAAGGTTGATTTATTACTAATTAATCCTTTCCCCTTTAACTCCCTCCCTCACTATTTCCACCATTTTCGTATAAAATAGGTGTAAAGGCTATGGACGACAAGAACTGAACGAATCACGGCGAGGCGTATACTCGAAAGTTACACCCCTCCATTATTTTGTTAGCCAAGTTTGTCCGATTATTGGGGAATCTAAAACGTAAATTAATTACAATAAATGAGAGATACAAGTCATGGGATCATATTAATGAATAGTATGGAATCAAGTAATTGTGGATCGCACTAATATGATATTATACATTCAGTTCATGTGATGATACATATTGTTGTACTCTTCTCACGATAGATACGCATTTCCCTCCCCTTTTTCCTTCTTTCTTCCAGAGTCACACACACACACACTCACACACACACACACTCTCTCTCTCTCTCTCTCTCTCTCTCTCTCTCTCTCTCTCTCTCCCTCTCTCTCTCCTCTCTCTCATATCTCACTGAAAATTGAGATCGTTGCGTTCTCGAACCGACAGACCGTATATCACATGACTATACCACATTTACTACCTTTATAAATTTACAATAATGTGCTTTTCTATTGGTTATTTTATACCATTTAAAGCTATTGGTGACTAATCTCCGATAAACATTGATGATCATCACGGACAGATTCCTCGCAAATTCCGTTATTACCACTACGCACTCTGATTGGTCCTAATATGATTAACACTACATATAGCTTATTGGATTATAAAAATTGGGTTGCAAACATCCGAATGACTCATTATATCATCGAACATTACTACTATGACATTTCCCCTTCCCGATGAATGCATAACTAATATTCTTGACCATATTCATTACCACGACTTGTCCACCCTTCATTGTGCTCTATTAATCAACAGACGTTGGTGTACCGAAGCAACGTCTTTACTTTGGAGACAACCATTCAATGTACTTGGCCGGATTGACTCTGACCATGCCATTAATCTTGTCCCAACCCAGCGACGCCGACTGCTTTGCGGATATCGATATGTCAAGCTCGTAGATTCCTATCTTCCATTTCTGAGCGAAAAGACCAGATCGGCCTTTGGCATACGATTAAACCAGACGAATCGTTCTCCCACCTTCGATTATCCAAAGCTGCTGAGAGAACTCGATCTTTCTGATCTACAAACTGCGGCTCATTACTGGTGCGAAGCACATCATCCGATATCGGAAACTAAAGATGGGCATAATAATAATGATCCCGGAAAGACTGAATATCGTAGCCTGGCAGACGAACTGTGCAAACTGTTCTTGGATCGTTGTGAACGTTTTGACTTTCTATGCTTCAACGAGAAGGAACCAAACAAGTATCAGTTACCGCAACTGCAAGAGTGGTATCCTAATCTTTATCGCTTTACGCCATCACCTAAATGTGTCACTCGTTTAAATGGTCTGGTTATCGGGCCAACTTTGCTCGAGCAGCTATACAGCACTGGAATCCTGAAACACAGCACCAATGTCGAATGTTTGCGTATCGAAGGTTTTTGCAAGCCTGCGGATTACCTTCAATCCTTCATTGAATCACAACGGAAGCTGCGC